TCTGCTGTTCCAAATCTCACATCACGACGTGCCATTCCTCCACAAATGTCTAGCTCAGTGCACATGGAAGAAAGATTCCATCGGCTAGACACAGTAATCCATCTATCTGAAACGCAAATTCCTCACCAACTTTACTGTACATGTCACGGACAGTCTTGTCGGTATAAACTGAAGAGATAAGGGCAAAGTGCCAGCTATCACACGTTGGAAGAGATCGCAGTATCGACCATGATTGCTGGCGGGATCAATCAGATGTGCGTTTCACTTCATCTGCAGCATGGTGAGGTGGACAGCTTACAGAATGAAGTCGGTACTGAGGTGCTAGTTACTATAGGAATGTGAAGTCGCGAAGTGCTCTATCAGCCGTTTCAATGGAGGGCTTTGCAAATGCACATTAGAGTGGGTATTTGTAATGCATACTACAGGCTAGTGCATAGACAATGCTTCCTCGTGTGCTTAGGATAGCTATGTTCAGTAGAGCGGAGTTGTCTGAAAACACACAAAGTAGGACAGCCATTCATTCCTGACGCAGTGTTGTTACGTGTCAGGAAGGCATGTCTGGCCATGGCCGTTAGAGCAATTGCATCGACGTGACACAATATGTGAAGGTATGGTGAGGTTGATTGTCGAAATGGCTGCATTAGCCAACGAATATGAGGAACAAAATAGAAACAACCCTGCAGTGTCTACAAGGAAGACAAGGTGCAACAATTCTCATCCCAGTTGATTTGTGGTGAGAAAACAGTCACGTTTATATAGATCAGCGGCACAGAATTTCACAAATTCTAGATGACATGCACCAGTGACATTAAAACTACTCATAGTAAGGCTAAGGTGACCGACGTAATGACAGAAGCTTCCAGATGATGCGCGCAGTCTATCATCATAAAGCTGCTTGGTGGAGACATCAACAGGACAATTAGTCTAGTGAAGTTTAAACCTTACAATTTGTCAATGAACAGGTTGCATTCCACAGTGGCAGATGACGGACATTGAATGCTACAATACGCC